TAGCCAGTAAGTGGCAGAGGTGGGATGGGACCCCAGCCACCTGGCTCTCAAGTGTTTTCTCAGTTGCTCTGAGAGACTGGCCTCTCAAGTTGTCAAACCCAGGGCTGCCCAAGAGAACTTTCTATGGTGATAGAAACGTTCTGTTCTGTGCTGTCCCATTTGGTAACCACCAGCCATGTGTGCTTTTGGGCACTTGACATATGGCTTGTGCAACTGAAGAACTGACGCATTTTATTTGTTACTTAATTAACATTTTATTTATTTATTATTTTTTGAGACAGAGTCTTGCTCTGTCACTCAGGCTGGAGTGTAGCGACGCGATCTTGGCTCACTGCAACCTGTGCCTCCAAGTGATTCTTCTGCCTCAGCCTCCCAAGTAGCTGGGATTACAGGCGTGTGCCACCATGCCCAGCTAACTGTTGTATTTTTAGCAGTGATGGGGTTTCACCATGTTGGCTGGTCTCAAACTCCTGACCTCAAGTGATCTTCCGTCTCAACCTCCCAAAGTGCTGGGATTACAGGCACGAGCCACCACGCCCTGCAGTTATTTAAAATTTTAATAGCCACGAGTGAATTTGAGAGATTTTTCTGAGGGATGAGGCTCAGAGCCGGGAGATCTATCTGTAAGATGTGGTAATGGAAGAGGAGGACGTTCAGGGATGGCAACTACCAGGTTCCCGGCTGAGGCAGCTGAGAGGGTGGGTGGGAACAGCCTCCGTTATTGAGCACCCACTGTGTACCAGGCACTGTGCTTAGTGCTTCATTAGATACATTGGCCTCTCAGATGCTCGTGTCTCTCTGTATTAGTCCATTTTCATGCTGCCGATAAAGACATACCCAAGACTGGGCAATTTACAAAAGAAGAGATTTAATTGGACTTACAGTTCCACATGACTGGGGAAGGCTCATAATCACGGTGGAAGGTAAGGGAGAGCAAGTGACATCTTACGTGGATGGCAGCAGACAAAGAGAGAGATTGGGCAGGAAAACTCCCCTGGTCAGAGCTCACCAGGCTGTACTGCCCAGCCTCCGTGAATACCTCCCAGCATTTACAGCCCACATGGGCAGTTCCTGTGGACGCTGTCAGTCACTCCTGCTTGCTGGGCATGGTGGTGTCCTTGTCAACCCAGTAGAAGGCAAGGTCCATGACTTCTAATTGTGTCCTCACCCCATCCCCAGTGCTCAGCCTGAGCCATGCCCATGGAATAAACCTGCCAAACATATATTTTATGAGGAGCCTCTCGGAGCAATAGAGAAAACACCTGAGAGCCAGGTGGCTGGGGTTCCAGTCCCACCTCTGCCACTTACTGGCTGTGCAACCTTGGGAAAACTCTATGACCTCTCTATGCCTCAGTTTTGTCCTCTGTAAAATGATCATGATAAGGTCGTCAGCAGGATTTAACGTGTTAATGCCTACCATATAGCAAGTGCTCTGTAAATGTTCGTTGTTATTCTAGGTAGGTCAATAACCTGTCAGACACCTGCGTTGGTCGTACTTTCTATGTCTGAGACATGTAGAACTCTAGACCAATTCTTTTTTTTTTTTTTTTTTTTCTGATGGAGTCTTGCTCTGTGGTCAGGCTGCAGTGGCATGATCTTGGCTCACTACAACCTCTGCTTCCTGGGTTCAGATGATTCTCCTGCCTCAGCCTCCTGAGTAGCTGGGATTACAGGTGTGCACCACCCCACCTGGCTAATTTTTGTATTTCTAGTAGAGACGGGGTTTCACTATGTTGGCCAGGATGGTCTCGATCTCTTGACCTCGTGATCTGCCCACCTCAGGCTCCCAAATTGCTGGGATTACAGGCATGGGCTACTGTGCCCGGCCCTAGACCAATTCTTAACTGCTGTCTACATTTCAGCCAGGAAGGGGTTGACAGTCAAGGGGACCGACCAGCGCAGAGATGACACTTGAGCTGTGCAGAGAGGGGCCCTCACCTAAGCTGCCCTAGGCCTTTAAAATAACCCTGGTGTTGAATTTGTTGTTTGGGGCAGCATCAGTGAAGTGGTGTCTCAGCAGAAATATCGGTGTTTGTGATTGATGAGGCTGTCGGAGGGAAGAGAATCTAATAAACGGCTTCCCCGGTGATTCAAGGTCTCCTCCAACCCAGCTGTCTCTGCAGCCTCCCCGGACCAGTCCCCCTACGGCCACCTGGACGCCTTCTATTTGCTTTGATTCAGTTTCTCTTTTGCTTGTTCCTTACTTGCTGGTGCATTCCCACCCCAGCTGAGAGCCTCTATTTTTGGGAGTTTTCGTGGATAATTTAGTGGGCGGAAGCTCCCCACCCACCCTGCTTGGAGCATCCCTTAAAAAAGGGAGAGTGCTCGAGAGAAGTGAAAAACAGTGGGTGGTTCAGTTCAAAAGGACAAAATATTTCTTGCCCTGGCAATGGGAGAGGAAAGAAATTGTCTGAGGGATCCGAGGAACGGCTAAACTAAGAAGCCGAAAGCTGCAGCCCAGAAGGGCAAATTAGGTGACTCAGCTGCAACTGCTCGGCTCCAGCCCTTGTAGTATTAATGTGCTTTAAAAGGGAAAAACGCTTAACCGTGACAAAGAGTGGGCTCTATAAAAATGTGGCTAATGCTGATTCTTTCGAGTTCCAAGAGACATCCCCCGCTCAGCAGCGCTGGACACCTGTGGAGTTGGGGCATCGCCTCAGAGGCCTGCGTTTGGGTGGGACTGAGTCTAAATTTATCCCCGATAATGAGTCCGCCAGAGGAGGGCCCAGCGGGCTTGTTTCCTTTCTCGCTTCTGGCCTCCAAGACCTCGGCTCCAAGGGAGGATTCTGGGAGGCAGGGGATATGGTGCCAAGAACACAGGCTTTGTTGCCAAACAGAGCTGGGTTCAACTCTGGGCCGGCCATTTACTGGCTGTGTGCACACCAATTTGTAGGGCCTCAGTTTGCTCATCTGTCAATGGGGCTCACAGCATCAAGCTCAGTGGGAGGGTGAAAGGAAGCACACCTTGCTGAGCTTGTCTGATGATCTGGAGATGGCACCTGTAGGAGGGCCTGGAGAGGAAGGGCATGAAGGCGAGGCCAACAGTCTTACTCCTGGCTTAATCACTGCTCATCCGTTGACTGTGGGAAGGTTCTTTCTTTTTCTTTCTTTCCCTCTTTCCCTCTTTCTTTCTTTCTCTCTTTCTTTCTTTCTTTCTTTCTTTCTTCTCTCTCTTTCTTCTTTCCTTTCTTTCTTTCTTTCTTTCTTTCTCTCTCTCTTTCTTTCTTTCTTTCTTTCTTTCTGTCCCTCCCTCCCTCCCTCCCTCCCTCCCTTCCTTTCTTTCATATTTTTAGGATTTGTTATGTGCTTTACTGTTCTTAGCACTTCAATGAAATAAACTCATTGAATCCTTACAAGTTTTTAAGAAGGGGATTCCTGGTGTCCCCATTTTACGGAGTGGGGTAAGTGGTGACATGGCAAAGCCAAGCATCTGACTGTAGGGCCCGAGCTTTAAATGGCTTCTCAGGTTGTCTAACCCACTGCTGCCCGAGAGAACGTTCTATGGTGATGGAAAGAGTCTGTTCTGTGCTGTCTGATTTGGTAGACACCGGCCACGTGTGGGCTTCTGAGCATTTGACATATGGTTTGTGCAACTGAAGAACTGACACTTAGGTTTAATTGTTAATTATTTAACATTTTGATAACCACATGTGGCTCGCAGCTGCCATATTGGATAGCACAGGGCTAACCCCTTCAGCTTTAGTCCATTACTTTGCAGTGGGGTTGTGAGCGGGAATTTACAGAGGAGTGTAGCTCAGGGCCTGGCACCTGGAAGGGACTGAGTGAGGCGTGCTGTTTACAGTGTTACTAAGTGTAGCAACTGTCTTCAGAAGATAACGGTTAGCAGGCTTCCTTGGTGTCTGGAGAGTGGCAAAAGGAAGTTGAGTTTCATTCATGCCTGGGATGACCAACCTACCCCAAGTTGCCTGCAACCTTCTCAGCTTTAAAACTGGAAGTCTTACATTCTCGGAGCCCCCTCAATCCCAGGCAAAGCAGGACGGTTGGTCACTCTGTTCTTGCTTCAGATGGTTGACCAAAGAGGCCTCTGGGAATGAGTCGTCCTCAATAGGCTCCACTGAAGAGAACCCCCTCTAAACCCTTAAAGGCTGCACTCTGAAATTTGCCAAGTAAATCACCAGGCAAGCCACCTGCCTGCTATGGGCCTCAGTTTCCCTTTTGGAAAGTGGGGGAGGGGATTCCCCTCTTTGCAGAGTGGTTGCAAGAAATTTGGTGGCTGCGTGATTTTTGACTTACTGGAGATTCAATGAGACTTCCTTACTTTGAATTCCTTGGCACACAGTAGGTGGACAGATAATGGCTGCTCTTTGGGGGAACAGTATTACTCAGGCTTCCCTGCTGGAGGCCACCCTGGTTGAGGCAGGCTTGAAGAGAGTCCCCTGGGCGGGGTTGGGGGTGGGGCTTTCTCAGGCCCAGTTCCAGTTGGTCTCTGTGGGCCAGCATCTATCTCCAGCAGAAGTGGTTATGTCTGAAAGCTGCCCAGTGAAGCTATTGTGGGCCAGTGCTGGAGAACAGAGTGGTCCCACGGATGGAGCCAGCAGCCTCTCAATGCCTCTTTAAGTTCAAGTCTCTCTGTGAGAGCGTGCGGGGGGCGGGGGGGGGGGTGTATGTGATGAATCACCAGCCTTGGTTGCTACCCACAATTTTATCAGAGCTCACAACAGTATTTGAAGTCCATTTTCAAAGCCAGCTTTATCTTTGGGCTCAGAATTTCCCACCCTGCAGGCAGGTGAAGAGGCAGATCTAGTTCAAGTCCAGAAAAGGCATCTTGAGTGCTGCGCCTCCCCCTCTCCCCCTCCTCCCCTTCCCCACGGACCTTCCGGGGGTCGCGTGGCCTGCTGCTGCGAACCATGCGTGGCATTGCACGGACTTTCTCCTGGACACCGTGCAAAGTTCATGATATCCCTTCTCTTTATTTTCCTGTTTATTCAGAGCATGTGTAAACACATGGGTTGCCTGGTTTCAGCCTCTCTTTGGCCATTTCATTATTTCTGGAGCCTCTGAGCATCACTGGAAACCTTGGATTTTCTAAATGAATCTAAAAATAAACTCTTTGAAAAAAAATTCTCAAAGTTGGAGAGTTGACACAAGGCACCGTTATTTATTTCTTTTCCTTCCTCCTCCTTCTCCTCTTCCTCCTCCCCACCATCCCTGAACACACAAAAATTTGGGCAGCCAGAAGCAGTGAGGGACTGGGAAGGGCCCCCTGGGCGAACGTCCAGGAGCTTGGACAACCTGGGGTGTTGGTTTGAACCCTGGGCCGCTTTCTCCGAGAGGCGCCCGCTTGGCAACTGGGGGGCTTGGGAGTCTTGGGCATGATTTATGAAAAGCTGCCGCGGGCCAGGGAAGGCGGTGGCTGGGGCACTCCTTGCAAACAGCCGCCTGGAGCTCCTGCAGGGCCGACTTGGACACTCGCAGGCCCCCACCCCCTTCTTTTCGCCGTCGCCCGCTTCGCTCCCTCTCCCAGACTTTTCTCGCGAACAATCAGGGACTTGTGCTGGCGGCCGAAGGAGCCACGGAGCTGGCTGGCCGCGGAGGAGGCGACGTCATGGATTCCTGAGTGTGAAGTTTGCAGGAAAGCCCTTAGTTTTGGAGATGGACGGGATCCAGTGGTTTCCATGGCGCTGGATAAACAGGAGGAAACAGTGAGGGAATCCCGTTATTTTACTGCATTGAAAGCCTATAAACACGGAGCGCGGGGAAGGAAGTCGCGTTGCCTTTGGAGTAAGCCCGATCGCGGAGCCGCGCCGACTCCGCCGCGCCGGGAGCCGGGAGGCGCGCAGCTCCCGGGCCGCTCCGAGGCTCCTCGGCCAGGGCAGCCCCGCGGGCACGCGGTAGAGAAGACGGCGCCCCCTCGGCTGCTGGTCTATACAAACAGACCCCCCTTTCCAAACACCCGCCAAGCCCCCGTCCCCTCCAGATGCAGAGAGAGGCTGCGTTCAGACTGGGGCACTGCCATCCCCTCCGCATCATGGGGTCTGTGGACCAAGGTAACTGACTCTCGATCCCTTCCAGCCTTTTCCGCTCGCTCCTCCCGGCCCTTTCCTGCTGCTCCCGTCCGTCCCGGGCAGCACTTTCGGCTCCGGGCAGAGGTCGGTGTGGGAGGCCCAGGACCCTGCTCGCTCTGGGCGCACAGGTAGTGTGGCCCGCGGAGGGGCGCCCGCGCCCCGGCCAGGGAAGGGACCTTTGGGAAGGCGACTTTGGACAACTTTGCGCGGGGGCAGGGAAGCGTCGCGAGCCGGGATTCCCTGGGCCAGTCTGTCGGGAGGATTTTACCCTCCACGGGACACCGGGAGGGATTCTCGCTACTAACCGCTGGCTGTTTAACCGTTTCAGCACTCAGCTTTTGACAGCAAATGCCATAACGCTGCAGTATTATCATTATTACTTTTTTTTTTTCTTTTAAGAGAACAGGCTTGGCATTTTACTAGATAGTAAGTATAGTAGGGAAGACTGCTTTCTAACAGTTACAGCAGCAGCAGAGGCTCTGGGACATTCAAACCATTTTCTTCCCCTTTTTGGATGTGCCTGCTGGATACAGTCCTCCAGCTACCCCTTTAAAGTGCAATGTACCATCAGTTGTTTGGGGATCTGATTACACTCTACTTTCCCTTTTTCTGCTTTTTTCCCCCTTCTCTTAGACTTAGCCTTAGTGTCACGCCACTTGGATCTTAGGGGAGGGGGTTAACTGGTCGGGATTGCGGAGGGGCTTTGGCTCCACAATAATGAATCGGTCTTTAAAAGTGGAAACGGGCAAAGCGTTGTGTTTTTCAGAGGGGAGCTCGGCGTTGGGGGCTGCGGGGCCCGGCTGCCAAGTGGGAAGGGCTTCGAGAGTGAAGTGAAATAAATTCGCGGAGGAGGAGTTAGCCTCGTGTCATAAAACCAGAGTTGAATGTAGGTTTTGTGCTCTGCGTGGCTGATTACAGTTCTGGGGAGGGGGGAAGAAATGACAATTTCAGTAAATAAGCCTGAGAGGCTTTCTTTTCTTTCTTTTCTTTTCTTTTCTTCTTTCTTTCTTCTCTCTCTCTCTCTTTCTTTCTTTCTTTCTTTTATTTTCTTTTCTTTCTCTTTCCTTTCTTTCTTTTTTCTTTCTTTTTTTTTTTTT